GCCTGAGAAGCTTATGAGCATAGTCATGGACTGCACTCACAGGCAGCACGTGGTGCTCTGTAACGTGTAAAATGCTCACAGTCACTGACATCCTGTCCTCATTACCAGTCTAGTCCCAGGCGAGAAGGTCAGTAACGTCCTCTGGGGAACACTTGCACCCGAGAAGCTTCCCAGACGTAAGCAGCTCTGAGAGCAGATGTTTGTCATCATCCTCTGAACACCACCTGCATCCCACCTGGGGTCTTTTCTTTGTTCACTTCTGGGGTAAGAGCCTTCACTGATCTCGTCTGCCTCTTCCCCAGATTGGAGGATGCTGCCCGTTTTGAACCTGGAGTCCTCAGCCTCTGGGCAATACATTTGATCCTCAGCAAGCAATTTCTCAAAAGATGCGCGTCTGTGACAGTCTCAGCCCTTGCTCCCCAAAAGACTGTAGGTTCCTCAAAGCAGGGACTGTATCTCACGCCAGCGCTTCCCGACACAACCACCTGGGGATCTCTTTAAACTGCAGATTCTAGTTCAGGAGGTCTGGGGTGGGACCTGAGATTCTGCACTTCTAACAAGTTCCCACGTGATGCCAGTGCGTCTGGTCCCAGGACCTACTTTGAGTAGCAAGGACTTATATCAAGTTGAAACACCAGTAATTGGCATTGATACCCACCACAGGTGCTGAATTAATATTGATGGTGAAGGGGTACAACTGTTGGCTCTTTGCAAATAGACATTAGAACTTAGAAGACAGATCTGCCAAATCAAGCTCAGGGCTCAGAACCCAGATAAAGAAGGTGCCAAAACAAGGCACTGCTTGAACTATAAAAACCATTTTATTAGTTATGTTCTAATGCCACTGTGAATTACTGAATTAGATATGAAAATATTTAACTTAGTGAAACTTTCAAGGCAAAGTATAAAGATATATCAGGCATGACAGTATTTCCCACCTAACAGCATTTCAGTCTCACAAGGCAAAGTTACAAGAAGCAGATGCTAGCCAGAGTTATGCTTCAAATACAAGGTAAGACAAATATATGTTTGGAAAAGCCTCAGAGAGAACAAGTTGCTAAAACCTGTCTTCATCATTTTGGGTACAACTGCCTTACATTCTGACATAGACCAGTAGTGTATTTAGTATATTAGATACATGGCAATCCTCAGACATTGCTGTTTTAAAGGAAAGATGCTATCGGACCTGGGCAATGGATACATCAGAATTTATTGTACAGTTCTCTCCACTTCTATAGTATGTTCAAGATTTGGGGTCATGGTCCTGGTTAAGATGGTGTAAGTAGACTCTACTCTGTCTCTCCCAACAAAAGTGACTAAAATCTCTGGACAGAATGATTGGAACTCGGAGAAACACATGATAGCAGGTGGACTGGGGAAGAAAACCAGAACCCAAAATATAAACATTCAGGGTTTCCTGATCTTTTGGGGGTTTTTTTGTTTGTTTGTTTTTTCCTTCTATTCTTTCCAGCTCAAACTCAAGGCCGCACAAACCACAGTACTGCCCTGACCTGGACAGAAAATGCTCCAAGAGGAGCTTCTCTTTCTGTTCTAAGGAGGGGAAGGGGGCTTCTATAGGACAGAGAAGGTGGGGGAAATCCTGTTCTTTTTTCTCTTCTGGCTCTGCCCCAGGCAAGCCTCACTCCCTAAGCTGCAACCCTAGAAGGGGTAGTAGCAGCGACCAGGCAAGCACCTAAACCTGCTGAAGGGAATCCGTGGTCAGGAGAGGAAGTTGGGGAGTGAGGGGAGCATGTTGCTTTTTTCCTCTCTTAGTCCCAGAGGCAGACCTAATTGTGGGAAGTACACAGCAGAGCTGGGAGACTACACCCTTGGCTTTCTAGGCAGAGGACCAGGAAAAGGCAGAGAGGGACCTTGCAGCTGGAGAATGTGGTGGGGAGATGATCTTGCAGAGGTGGGAGCTCCAGTGTCTCAGTGTGCCTCGGGCTCCTCATCGATAAACTGGATATTATAGTAATACTTTTCTCACTAGGTTGTGGGGGCTAAATGTCAAAGTCCCGAGACCGGTGCCCAGTACACAGTATGTGTTTAATATGCCTTATATATTTATCAGAGTTCACAGGGCCAAGTCCAGATTTCATGTGCCTGGGTCCAGTTAGCGTCTTTCTTCCATGTCCCTAGTTATACTCTGGGCAACCATGTTATTCTTACAAATGCATGCTACTGGCCACAAGGTCAACACGGGAAAGTAAGTAAAAGGCTAAGTCTTATAGGTAATAGGTAAACAATTTAGTCACCAAACACAGGGAGGATATATATATGTGTGTGTGTGTGCATATATGTTCTCTAAAGAGAGCTTTCCAAAATGAACACTGCTAATAGAAATATTTTGCGTGTATGTGAAGAAAAGATAACCCAAATGACCAGATTTTCTGCATACATTGGTTATGTTCCCATCCATTCCACCAAATGCAGAGGAGCTTACCTTATCAGCAACATCCACCCTGGCCTTGTGATTAAGCAAGAAATCCACTGCAGATAAATTATTTGCTCCCACTTCAAAATGCAGGGCTGTGCGGTTCATCTGAGGAAACATAATTTGTGTTTTCAATCATACGATTATAATTTAGCTTTCTTAAGATTCTTGTTTCTCAAACAGCCATCATTTTCTTTCTGGTGTTTGTATTTTGAGTATCTACTCTTTGCCTTGCCTTTGAAAGCAGTGAGAATGGTGTCCAGCATAATCTTGCATGTGTCTACTATTAGATAATACCAGAGAACTTAGCGATCAACTGGAGGCTATGCCTCAAGCTGAAATCCACTGCATAACCTATCATTGATTGTAACAATACAACGAATTTCTGTCAAAAATCAAATATAGTAAAAGCTGTATTTCTCCCATATGTAATCATTAATAATGGTAATTTTTTGTGATTAGGATATATTGATAATGTAAAACAAAATTTTCCTAGAAGTGTAATCTATGTATGGTCTTTCTTCTATAATTTTTTGGACTGTAAATTTTATTGAAGCAAACAAGTCAAAAAAGAAAGAAGGAAGGGAGGGAGGGAGGGAGGGAGGGAGGAGGAAGGAAGGAAAGAAGGAAGGCAGACAGTCACCCAGAAAGAAAGCTATGAACATCTTTCGCTTCAAAGAAAAGCCAACTTGGTGCTCCCGGGAGATCCAGAGACAGTCTGATGTGCTCAGACAATGGAAGTTTCGTTTCTAAGTAAAACACGTGTCATATTTCCCATATTCTAGACACTGTTTTGCTTCCAAAAAAGGTGCCTGGGCATGGATTTGCTATCCTTTGTTTCACATAAATAATTTATCACAAAAAATATGAAAACTGTTTAAACATCTGATTTCCTTGGTAGCTAAATCGGTGATAAACTAACCTTGACAAAACATGAGTTATCCTTGACATTGTCTGCAGTCTAAAGCTTTGTTCTAGTGTGTCAAGTTTGGGCTTATGAACTCCCCTTTTAACTCTATTTGTGAATAAGGATGGAAACCAAAATAGCATCCAAGATAATTCAATAAAATCACCTCCTTTTTTTTTTATCTCTGTCATCACAGATTTTTAGGGAACTTTACAAGTAACCATGTCAACAATTTGCTGTAAACAGGACTAAAAGAGACGTCATTAGAAAGAATTATATAATTCATCAGGGGTTTATAACAACTTGCTACATTGACTGTAAGTATAAGTGTATTATCTCTCTAAGTACTTTAATATAAAAATATGGTTCAAAATATCAAAGTTGTACAGAAAAAAATTTTCAAGTGGTTATAAACTACATTAAAGAATCTATTTCCTGCTACTTGGAAAATGATTATTGCTTTCCTTATTCAACAATTAATTCAGATATTACTTTCAAAGATCCTTGCTTATTTTTCTCTTTGCTCCCTTTCTTCCTTCCTTCATTCCTTTTTTTGTTCCTATAACTGTTGTGCTGTAAAATTTTGCTATTTTTCTACTTGTTCTAGGATGTCTGTGGACAATGAATACTACGTACACCTATAACACATCAGACCCGCACACACAACATACACATACACTCTCACATACACATAAACGCAGACTCCCCCCCATGTATACACACGCACAACTGCTAAACATCCTTCTGCTGCACATGATGCGTGACTTCAGTTTCTGTGACCTCGCTGCCTGGGATAGATCCAGGTTTTGTGGAACATGAAGTTTACACTCTTTAGGAGCCCTCTTTAAAGCTAGAGTCAGAAAGCTTAACTGATTGAAGTTAAATTTTCTTACTTTTTCAGATTTTACAAAATCATAAAGGCATGGGAACACATTGCTAGAGTGCTGCCCGCCCCTCCCCACCCCGCTACAGTGCCTTGGAAGGACTCTGCACAAACCTTAAAGTTTATGCTTCATTTCGCATTAATTCCACCTCTGCCATCCCTACTTTGAACCACTCCACTAATTGTCCTAAACAACTGACCCAGCCCCCGGCCTGTTCACTTTGATAAACCTGCCTTGCAGGGCTGTCAGGAAATCTGCACAAAATCAAGCAGCTGGCTTGACACAACATTACAAAATGACTACAACTCAATTAAAAAATGTTTAAAAACAACAACAGCAAAAACCAAGCAGTTGGAAATCTACATTTCTGGGAGGAGGTTTCTCTCCTAAACCCAGGCACACAAAGAACAAGTAAAACCCAGGTTTCAGAAAAGGCTCCATTGCCCAACACGCAGATGCAATGTATTTCAAAAGCAATAAAATGCAAACCCTTACTCTCCTTTGGATTTTAAATTTGGAAGGACTGAACCACAAAGGACATCACTGGCGAGAAAACAATGATGAACTGTGTAGCAAAAGATGTTCTGCCTTTCCAGAATGTATGAGGCCAAAGTGATCCCAGGCTATGATCCAGGCCCACAGCTGGCTTCACTACCCACCCACAGACTTAGCACAGCTGCACACAAAGACCCTGCACTCTTCCCCTCCGATTAGATCAGTTAAAACACCTGGAGCCTCTTCCGCTGCTTGATTTTATCTTTAGCTTAAACATTCTGGAATTGTCAGGGAAGGAGCTCTCCCACACCTCATCCAGCAGACCATTTTTATTTTTATTTCAGTTGGACTGTGTAAACCCACGACACTCCTTGAGCAGTCAGTTTTCTATTTGTGACTTCTACTCACATTGTTCACAGCATTAATGTTAACCTTCTTTTCAAACAGCTTCTCCATAAGATCCAAATTATTGCTTGTAGCAGCATTCTGGAAGCTTCTCTCATTTGGTAGCACTGAAAGCAAGCAAACAAGCATGACTGGTGGAATTTAAGGGGTTGAAGAGAAAGCAAATCTCACGTGGCAAACCTTGGAACTGAAAACCTGACACAACAGACTTGAGCCTTTCCCATTCTGCTATTCTGGACGTGGGACCTTTGCTTCAATATTTTATAAAGCCGTATTATCAAGATTCTACTTTCTCCTCACACTGCGAGTGTTTTCACAGCCTTAAAAATCTTCCCAGTCCCCAACAAAACGTTATTCCCAGGGACCACCCTGAAGTCAGCAATGCAGTATTGCTCTGGGAGATGGGAGGGTGGCCATGGACTTTCCAGGGGCTGTTGTTTATAAAATGTTTGTACAAGATTAGACAGGGAGGAGCCAAGTGCTCCATACGAGCTTACAGACAGAAAACTGTTGTCTGCAGAACCCTGCGCATAATGCCAGACCTGCAGAAACAAAACCTTAAAATGCAGCACGTTATATAAACATGCACAAAGGCTAAAAGGGCTGAACATGTTTTATTCTCAAGTATATAAAAGGAGATAAAAGTAGACTAACACTTTTAACTATAAACATTAACATTACAATACACTGTGAACATTACAGATCACACACATATATACATTCAGATGGCAGGTTTTATTAAATAGCCTAGAGAAGAGGCCAAGATTTACGGAGTTGGTCTTTGTTTATTGTAGTTGGGTTGTTGAGGGTTTGTTTGTTTTTTTGGTGGGTTTTTTTTTTTTTTGGTAATATAAAGGAGCTGGAAAACACTCAGGGAACAGTCCCAACATTGGGGGATTAAGTCAAAATTGGAATGATCTGAAATCAGCAATAGACCATCTTCAAAAAGAAAGGACTCTAAGAGAGGTTTGACGGATGTGTCGTTGAGTGGTTTCCCTAGCATCTGCCAGGGACTTTTCAGAATATTACCAAGTCCAATCAAAGACCAGGGAGTATCTTCCTGGGAGATACACATATTCATTCTATCGCTTGCACCACTCCCTTTCTACCCCTACTCTTGTTCCAATCTAAGTAACTTCAACATCCATGTAGACGGTTAACCCAGTAGCTTGGTCTCTCAGTTCCCTGACCCCCCTCACCTCCAATAGTCTTTTCCTCACCTGACCTTAGCCATCTGATTTCAGGGTCATGCTCTTGACATGACCACCCTCAAACACTGCACTACTCCTGACATCGTCAGGAATCCCGTTCTCTGGTCATCACCTCATCCATTCAGCTCACCTGCTCTAGTTTTCCCAGCCCGGAAATTCTGTGACCTCATCAAGTCCTCCACTTCCATCTTCTCACATCTTTTCATATTATCCACCCCTTAGGCCCTTAACTTCCCTCCGCACCCAGTTTAGATCCTATGGTCCATCTGTGAACTCACTTCCATGCAAACACATTTACCTCCCTCACATTCTCTTCTCTCATCAGACTAGTTGACAGGATCCAGTTCTGAGATTAAACCCAACTGCTGTCTGCTCCATTTCTGCACCTGAACAGCTAAATGGTACTGGAGAAAAACACACAACCATGCAGTGGCAGACAGTGCTAGTGCTCATCAACATCGGATGCTCCCCTCCTATCTGAACTCATGGATAAGTGCACACCCAAGCCTGCATGCAGTCAGGTGAGGTAGCAGGAGTGACGGTGTGTCACCTCAGGCTGCGTCAGTGCAAAGCCCCTGTATGTCATGGTCCAGGTCTCTCTTCCCCTGTCTTGTCAATCCTGAAAGCTATATATTTATTTTTGTTTGTTTGTTCTTTTTTCTCTCTTTTCTTTTCTTTTTGTTTTTTTTCTTTTTTGTTTTTTAAATTAAAAAAACTTTTAAAAAATTTTTTTCAAAGCTGTATATTTAAATGCAGGGGTGTTCTAGCTGAATTGTATCCCCTTAAAATTCATGTTGAAATTCTAACCCCCAGTACCTCAAAATGCGACTATACTTGGTGATAAGTTCTTTAAAGAGGTAATTAAAATTAGATCATTTGGATGAGCCCTTACTCAATATGGCTGGAGTCCTATAAAAGAGGAATACATGGCTACAGACATGATAGAAGGAAGACCATGTGAAGATGCAGGGAGGAGATGGCCAGCTATAAGTCAGAGAGTGAGACCTCAGAAGAAACCAGCTCTGCCAGCACCTTGACCTCACACTTCATCAAGAACCGTGAGATAAATTGTTGATGTGTAAGCCACCCAGTTTGCGGCACCATGTCATGGCAGCCATAGCAAACTAATACAAGAGGTAGCAAGATGGCAGAACCTCCATCAGTTTGGTATTGGGAGACAGTTCTCCATGGGTCTCTTACACTTCTGCACATCTTACAAGCAGCAGCACTGGCTGCCTTTGCTCTGGACCATCTTTTCCAGGATGTTTATATAGCGAACTGTACTGGAAAAGAGAGCTAATGTCTTCCTCTGGAGCAAGAGGCAGGTTTGCCTACATCCTTGAAAAACAATGAGAGTAAGGCAAGCTTACTGCCCACTACAAGTGACTGGGGTTCCCCAAATGAAAGATTCTTCCTTGACACAACCCACTGCATGTGCAGGTTAGCACTTGGTGCTCTCGGCATCTCCCTGTGGGAACCGGGGTGTGGAGAACCGACACAAATACTGACACTCTGGCTACTGCTCCTACTGTAAATAATAAAATCTTACTACCTTTAGTACCTGATCCAGAAGTATCTTCTGCTAGCCTCTATGATACCAGGGTAGGCTAACTCATTAGCTTGCAAGTAGAGTAAAATCTTGGCCCCTCTACAGACCTTGACACATGGGTTCCTGAGAGTCTCAGTAGAGTAGAGACCCTCATATTGCACACATGTATGAGCAAGAAGTAGTTCGTTATTATATTGAGTCACTCAGATTGAGGGGTTATTTATTGCTGCAGGAAAAGCTAGTCTATCCTCACTGATACACATACTAACATGCTACACATAAATAACATGCTCCTAAATTCTTACCCACTAATCTCAAGTAGGATCTCAGCACAGCAATCCTACTACATTTCCCCAGTATTTCATTCTCCAAAATTTCATGCTTTTTCTTTCTCTTCAAATGTCCTTATCTACTAATTTACCTTATTTAGTGTCCACCATTACCATCATCTGCTTCACAAATGATAATATTACGTAGGGAAAATAAAAGCAATCAGATAGGAATTCCCACATCTTCCCACCACTAAGTCAACCAACCACCTATCGACATTTATACCCACACTCTTTGCTTGTATTACTGTTACAATGATGAAGCATTCTTGTGCCTGCCCAAGGTCAACCCCTCCACTTGGGCTCTGAATCCCATCCCTTCTCAGCTTTTAAATTGTTTCATATATCAATCTCCTGGAAATTATCCCCTTTCTTCTCTGCATCATTTACTCTCTCTCCAGTGGAACACTTTCCTCAACATATACAGAGATGCTATAATACCTCCAGTGCCTCCAGTGTAAAAAAAAAATCCCTTCACATTCCTTTCCCACTGCCACTTCATTTCTCAGTCTCCCATTACCCCCAAACTTCTTAGAAGTGTTCTATAATGATGTCTCTACGTACTCAATCTCCTCATCTCATATCAACCCATGCAAATCAGACATCACTCCCATCACTCCACTGAAACTGCTCTTAACAGGGTCGCTCCATCTTGCTAAAATCCAGTCATCACTTCTCTGTCCTGTATGCAGAACTCTTGGCAGATTGGACACAGGACCACACCCTCCTTGTAGCAGTTCTTCTCTAGGCTTCTGTGAGACCATCTGTTCCTTTCCGGTTCCTTTCACTGGTTCTTCCTCCTCTGCTTGATCTCCAAATGTCAAAGCACCCTAGGATTTTTATAAAACTAACAACCTGATGGAATAGATATTACTGCCCCCATCTTACAGATGAGGAAACTGAGACTTAGAAAGCTAAGTCACTTGAGCATGCCTTAAAGATAATAAATGACAGAACTCTCCTAGGCAGCCTGAATTGAACCCCCAAGCTTCCAGTCACTGCACGTGTCCAGGGTGTCAGCATGAGAATGTAGTGCTGAAGGAGAGATCCAAACTACCCACTTGCCATATGCTTTAGCGAATGCATTCTGCCAGTTAGGCCGGACTTCTCCCAGCTCCCCACCTTGGTTCCTACACAGCCCTGACCCTAGCTCCTTGCCCCTATGTGTGAATCTAGTGGAAGGGAAGTTCTAGTTCCAGGTCCTTCTTCCTCTTTGGTATATCCCAGGGCAAATCAAGACCTCACTATGCCCTGAAATGTGACACAAAGATTCTATTCTGTCCCTGAAGTTGAATATCTTGCCACTTTTCTACCATATCTATAAAGAAAATTAATTTTAAGGATGTTTCTAAGACAATTGGGAAGCACCATAAAAGACTCTTGAACCACTAAATCAATGGTTCATAGCTCTGGCTTCACAATGAAATCAACTGGGTTCCTTTAAAGTAAAAAATCCACATTAGGTTCTTCAACCCAAGCTAATTACATCAGAATCTTTAGGGACTCAAAATGTTCACTGACTTGCCCACAACTTACTAATCAGGTAACCCTGTAACAATTCTGAATTTTAGTATCCTAACCTGTGAAATGGAGATTATAAAACCTATCTTCAGTGGTGTGAAAAAGCCAGCTTTTACAGGCTTGTAGAACCTACTTTGTGTATCTCTTCCCCACTTTGTGTTCAGTGACATCACACTGTAGTTTGAAATCAGTCATGGTGGAAGTATTACACAAAGGAAAGTGGAAAATACTACAAATCAGAACTTTCTCCCCGAGAGAGCTGGTAGTTAAACATTTATCAACACACCACTGACCACCTGCCTGCTAGTAACTGACAGAGTTGAGAAAATGACCCAGAAAAAAAATCATAAACATATAAATTGACTAAATAGTATTTAGAGGAGTACTTTACTATATATGTATTAAAAATTATAATGGATGAGATCAAGGAAAGGTTAAATGTTCAATCAAAAACAGCAGGTTACAGAGAGCTGTATCATTCACTTAAACTTTTAGGGGTCAAGCATGCTAATGCCTTCAGTAGCTAAGCAAGTATGACAAAAAGGGTCAGAACATGAGGGGACCATGCTGAGCTAGAAAAACAAATCGAGGCTCTTCTTTCATTTCATTCTGATGGTACCACTGTAACAGGGAGAACAAATCTGACTCCATACTGGATCTGTGTCTTTTACTTTAACCTTTGTATTCTGTTGCTTTTGCTACAAGTTAAGGATGTTGCCTGTAGCCTGAAATATACATGATACCCCATTCTCAAGGCTTTAACCTTTAAAGGTATAACACTTACCCCTTTGAGATAAAAAGTTGTAGAACAAAGAATAACGTTTGTCTTAGGGGAGGTTTATGGGAACGTGGTGAACTGACCTATGTGGACAGCTGCAAGAACAAAGGATTCTGATACCAAGAAGTCTGCAACAACTAACCACACCTCCTCCACTTTTAGTATAAAAGAAGCCTGAATTCTGACTTGGGTCAGATGGTTCTTTGGGACACTAGCCCATCATTTTCTCTGACTGCTGGCTTTCCAAATAAAGTCACTATTCCTTGCCCCAACAACTTGTCTCTCGATTTACTGGCCTGTTGTGCAGCGAGCAGTACGAGGTTGGACTCAGTAACACCACCTCTGAAAAACCATACCTGACCAGCCAATTCTCCTTTCCTCATCCTTCTCTACTCTGACGCCCTACTTCATTCTTTCTTCATATCATTAGTTGTTATCTAACATTACAACACATATATTTGTTCACTTGTTCACTGTCTGCTTCTGTCACTTGAACACACTATCTAAGCGGAAAGAAAAAATCCCAGGGCCCAGTGCTAGCAGGCATTCAATAAATTCTGTTAGATGGATGGATAGAAGGGTTGGGTAGCCTCTATCCACTTCCAGAAGAATACTGCCAAGAAGGAATGTAGGCCCAATATTAGCAGAACTTCCAATTTTTGAAGAAGAAGAAAAAAAATTGGGCAATGAATCAAAGAAGAAATCTCAAGAGAAATTATAAAATATTTTAACTGAATGAAAATAAAAACAAAATATATTAAAATGTGTGGGATGCGGCTAAAGCTTACAGCACTAAGTTATTAGAAAAGAAGAAAGGTCTCAAGTCAATATCTAAGCCCCTACCTTGAGAGAGTCAAAAATGAAGAGCAAGATAAACCTAAATCAAGCAGAGAGAAGAAAAATAACAAAGGTAAAAGCACTATTCAATGAAACTGAAAACAGAAAAACAATAGCGAAAATCAGTAAAAATAAAATCTGGTTCTTTGAAGACATCAATAAAATCAATAAACCTCTAGCAAGACTGAGTAAGACAAAAAAGAGAAAGGGCACAAATTACCAACATAAGGAATGAAAGAGAGCGTAGCACTATAGTCCTCACAGACATTAAAAGGATAATAAGAGAATTATTATGAACAACTCCATGCACAGAAATTCAACAACTTAGATGAAATGGAACAACCCTCAAAAAACACAAGTTGCCAAAAATATATAGATAACCTGAATAATCCTGTAACTATTAAAGAAATGGACTTTGTAGTCTAAAATATTCCAAAAAATAAGTCCCCATGCCCAGATAGTTTCACTAGTGAATTCTACCATACATTTAAAGGGTAACACCAAGTCTATACTCTCTCTTCCAGATAACAGCAGAGGAGGAAATATATCTTATAAGCCCAGCATTTCCTTGATTCTAAAACCAGATAAAGACATTACAAGAATAGAAAACTACAAACCAATATCCCTCAACAACAAAGACTGAAAACTCCTCAAACATTGTCAAATCAAATCCAGTCTTACATGAAAAGTATAATACACCATAACCACCTGGGGCTTATCCTGACAAAGCAAGACCACATCCATATCTGAAAGTCAATCAGTAATCTACCATATTAGTAGTCTAAAAAAGAAATCGTTTCAATTGATGCAAAAAAAGCATTTTAAAAATTCAACATCCATTCATGATCAAAAACAAAAACAAACAAAATCTTCTTAGCAAACTAGGAATGGAAGGGAATTTTCTAACCTGATAAAGAACAGCTACAAAAAACTGAGAGCTAACGTCATACTGAATCATAAAAATCTCAACGCTTCCTTTGCATATCAGGAATGGAGAGGCCAACTCTCACTCCTTTTTTAAAACATTGTGCTAGAAGTTCTAGTCAGTACAATAAAGCAGTAAAAGTAAAAGGATACATATTGGCAAGAAATCAAACTGTCTTTAGTTTACTTGCAGATAACTTGATTGTCTCCATATAAAATCCAAACGAATATACAAAGCAGCTTAGCAAAATTGCAGGATACACAATCAGCACATAAAAATCAACAGTGTTTCTACATACCAACACAACAAATGAAAACTAAAATTTAAAAAATAATACTAATAGATTTTAAATTATAATAATTACAACAGATCCAAAAGATAAAAATACTTAAGTATACTTACAAAAACTACCGAGCCAAAGTTGTAGTTTCCCTATACCAAAAAAATACAAAATGCTGATGAAAGAAATCAAGGGATATCTAAATAAATGAAAAGATATATTATGTCTATGATTAGAAGACTTAACATAGTAAAAACATCAGTTCTCCCATGACTGATTGATCGATCTATCGATCGATCTACCTATCTATCTATCTATCTATAATGCAATTCAACCAAATGCCAGAAGATATTTTGTAGCTACAGATAAGTTGATTCTAAAATGTATATAGAGAAGCAAAAAAAAAAAAACAAACCAAAAACAAACAAACAAAAAACCCCACTAGAATAGCCAAAACAACTTAAAAAAAGAATAAAGTTGAAGGAGTCACAGTACATAATTTTATCATAAATCTACAATAACCAATGGTATTGGCAAAGAGATGGACACATAGATCAACGGAATAACATAAATAATAAATAATAATAACCGATTGTGAGAAATAAACCTTCACAAATATAACCATTGATTTTCAACAAAAGTTTGAACGTCTTGACAATAGAGAAAGGATGATTATTTCAACAAAGGGTATTTGAACAACTGGACAGCCAAATGAAAAAATAGGAACTTTGAGATAAACTTTGCACTTTACACAAAAATTCACTCAAAAATAAGTCATAGATGTAAATGTAAAACATAAAACCGTAAAACTTTTTACAAGAAAACACAGGAGAAAAGCTTCATAAACTGGGATTAGGAAAAGAGTTCTGTCTTACATATGACACCAACAGCATGACCATAAAAGAAAACAAAGATAAATTGGACCTCATCCAAACTTAAAACTTCCTTCCATGAAAAGCACTATTAAGAGACTCAAAAGACAAGCTACAGACTGGGGGGATATATTTGCAAATTACACATCTGACAAATGAACTATATTCAAAATATATAAGGTATTCTCAGAATTCAAGAGTAAGAAAACAAAACCCAATGAAAAAAATAGGGAAAAGACTTCAAGGGAACAAAGACAAAACAAAAAGGATGTACAGATGGCAAATAAGCAATGAAAACATGTTCACCATCATTAGCCATTAGGGAAATGTAAATTAAAACCACGAGGAGATACCAATACACACCTACTAGAAAGGCTAAAATTTAAAAATACTGACAATATCAAATTTAAGCTTCTTTCTTAGGGCATCAAGGCCATGTGTGAACTGGTTCCATGTACACCCCTACCTCATTTGGTCTCCCTGTCACTCCTAATATCCAACTAGTCTGATCTTCCTCCTCTTTCAAGAACACATCAATTTCATTCCTGCCTTGCATTTGCTGTTACTCTTGCTTAAAATGCTCTCCCCTCTGAACTTCCCATGGTTGGTTCCTTCCTATCATTCAGATATTTGTTCAAATGTCCTGTCTGCCTTGACCACCAAATCTGAAGTCCCCCTGTGTCCTTGTCCCAGTCTCGTCACCCTATTCCATGACCTCCACAGCACTTAACCACTACCTTAAAATATCTTATTCATTTATTTGCTGACTGATCTCATCATGTATCAACCCTCCACCAGAACCAGAATCTGAGCTCCACTAGAATAGGGGCTGTCATGCTCTCTCTGCATCCTCAAATCTAGACTATGTCTAGTAAGTAGTAAGCACTTGAAAATATTTCTAGAACGATGGATGGATCATGGACAAAATGACTGAACATTATATTAAGACGTTTTTGCTGTTCTGCCCTCTAGGCTGGTCTTCAGGAAATGAGGGTACTTCCCACTTGGATGGTGTGCCCCTTAAGAGACTTGACGTCATTCTCAACTTTGAGGGCTCTTCAACAGAGTGCCTCATGTTATGTTATAAATTATTCCCAGGGCATAGATGATCCACTCCGTGCTTTAAAGGCTTAAGTACAGAAAGATTAAGAGACGTATTTAAAGTCACACAGTAAACAGTGCATGAGTCAGGACATAGGAGATAACAGCACTTGCAACTCTTTC